ACAATAAGTCCTCATTTATCACCTGATTCAACTCAGTGACAGGTTACCAAACGTTATTGAAAAGATTTCCAGTGAATGACCCTTGATGAGTGAGGAGTTACCCGGTCTTCCCACTGTACCCTTATGGAGCCGGTGTCATAAGTATTATCTCGCTTTGCTTTGTAAACATAGCCCTTAGAGACAAGTTGTCTCAAGGTAGGACTCTAGTGCCACAACGACTTTAATTGGAAATAACTGCCGGCGGAATTGAGAGTACAAAACCGAGAATGGTTGGAGTGGTTCGGGTGTCGTAACTGATCCACTCATTCCTCCAATAGGTGTTGTCCCAGCTCTTAGTCATGGTCGAGCAATTGTGGCTTTTTCCAGAGGAACTCGCTTCTTACCTTCGTGGTATACAGCAAATATTCCCCTGGTTTGGGTTGAGAAAAACCATTGCTCCAAGAGATTTTAGATGTAGGATTATTGTAACACAGAACCCTGAAGTTCAGGGTTGACGTTGCACCAATACATGGCTGAAACGGCAAACCCTGACATGTAGGTGCGGGATATGGGTGTGCAAGCCGTGACCGTAGATTTCGCACACTCCTCCAGGAGGAGCTAATAACAACAACATGCAACATCATGTAACATCCAGAATGAAAATTTTTTTAAAAAAACCCAAGTCGGACATTCAGTCGACAGATATCAAATCAAGGCGGAAAGGTCTAGAATGGTGAAATGTGTGATTTCCAAAATCATCTGCCATGTTGCGCCAAGAAATTCACTGTATGTACATCATGGAAAACAGATCATCCAAAGAAATAAATTCTGTAAATTGAGAAGCTAAGGAGTAAAGTGCCACGTACAAGTGAAATATGATGATATCACGACATTGACAAGGAAAACGACCTGGATGACCGATAACCTTGACATTTTCCTTAAATAATTTGCACTGTTATATCCCGAAAATTTCAAAATAACAGGACTGAGGTGCTTGACAGGTGTGTATCACCACAAATATTTTCCGTGAGTGTTTGTTTAGACACACCTCGTGCGTAACCAATTAAAATAACTTCACTGAACAGCTACGGAGTCCAATGACAATATTATTATATAGGCTTCAAAGAAAATCTATTTGTCTAGCTACGTGGTTGCTAGAAAAAAATATATATATACGTGAACGATGAATATATGGCCGAATGCCCAATCGGTCGACAGCGATTGTTTTCCAATAACGATTCAGAGCATGGCAGGATCAGGTTTTACAAGTGTGTTTAAAGAGCACATCGTTTAATACAATTTAATCGGGCTCCAAAGTTTGATGAGGATTTACTCGTAGCGTAATTGTGTTCTTCTCTGGCTTCTGAGAACTTGGGGCTTTCCCTCAGATCTGTGTCCAAGGGAGGAACCCTTGCCAGGGTGGGTCCAGAAGAGAAGCGATGGCCTGTGATAAGAGGGCGGTGGAACATTGTTAGCATTGCTGAGAAGGAACAAAACCAGCCTTGTCAATGAATGGGAAGATGATTACAGCACCGCTTGATCTCGCTTTATCTCAGCGGGTTTTGATTGCCTGTCTTTTACTGAGAGGTTTGGTTTAGAACGAGGGTGTGTGAAGGTATTCGTCAGGCCAAAAAGATCATGTTTTCTGCTTTTCTAGCACCCTACCTTAGCTCACCTAAACCACGCAATGCCAGGTAGAGCTGGTTGAAATGTGTGTTAGGACAGCAACAAAGTGGTGTGCATGGGGTGTTTTGAACGAGATAGCACGTAGCTACTGTGACTTATTAAAGTGAATGATTGAGAGCAGATGAACGAAGGGTATTGTATGGATATGTACAAAAAGCTCCTTTAGCAATAATAATAATAATAATAATAATAATAATAAACGGTTCTACTTCTATACAATCCCCATATGCACTCTGTGATACAATTACATACAATAAATTCAACCACATCTCTGTGTTTGTGCTGAGACAGAGAGAGGGGTGAGAGTTCGCGACTGAGAGTGAGAGATAGACACAGACTGATTAGAGCTATTACAGTGAGAGAAAGTGGAGGGGGAAGTTGTGGAATGACAGACATGCACTGAATTCACAGAACCCAGGTATCATTAGTCTCATTGTCTCCACACCCAAACTGCACATACCAGCTTAACATGCCAGCCATAATGCCAAACCTGTTCGAGTCCTCGGCCTGTTCTTCCACTTTTTTTTTCTTTCTCCACGATGAGCGTTAAAGCTATGAGCATTAAATGAAGAAAGAATTAGCCACCAGCCAACTAACATCCGATCAAATGGTGGTCCTTTTCCTTGCTCGATGGACAGATGACTACGATATTTTATCCGTCCATCCACCTTCAGGGTCACACACACATTCATACACTATGGACACTTTAGACACGCCAATCAGACTACCATGCATGTCTTTGGACTGGGGGAGGAAACCGGAGTACCCGGAGGAAACCCCCACAGCACGGGGAGAACATGCAAACTCCACACACACACACAGGGCCCCGGCGGGACTCGAACCTCGGACCCTGGAGGTGTGAGGCGAACGTGCTATAGTTTAATATAGTTTAATGGAGCTACATGGCAGTTGTAGTGAATACAAGGCCAGTGAGTGCACGTGACAGTGTGACTTTACATGAATTAATTTCTATTTGTTCACTTCCTGTTTCTGATTCATCCTCACTACGTGACCCTGATCAATCAGGACCTCTGTGTTGTCCTGTTATGCACACAGATGGATGTATTATGTCTTGACACATGTTATTTGCTGGACAGAATCCCCAGCAGAGCATTATAACTGCCTTTCCCGAGACAAATGCCAACACCTCCTGATTCCCTGAAGTGACCCTTGGTTCAGTTTCTCAACATGCTCATTCAACATCAGCTAGATCACGTGATACCATTCTTTCTTTTGCTGCCATAAACCTGGCGCCGAGCAACATTTTTGCGCTGTGACATCGACAACTATGAATGCCATTTATACATGCACAGATGCTGGGTGATTACTGAAGGATAAACTCTGAACCATGACCTTTGACCCTGATTTCTACAGGTCTCAGGTGAACGACCTGACCTTACTGATCGCACGCATGCAGAAGAATGCTGACACGGTGGAAAAAGACGTGCTGAGGGCTGAAGACCTGCTGGTCCTTGTGAGTCTACATTTATCTCTATCTCTATACCTATGGCCGAGTCCAAAATGGCTCAAGAAGAAGTGAGCAGAGCAAGAGCCAGTGCTGTTTACAAAGACGACGATCAACTGTCATTTCTGTCTTTCAGGATGCGGAAAATGACAAGAAAAACATTCCCTTTAAACACCAGAGTGAGAATTCCGAGTGCCTGTCCGAGGCCGAAGGGCTCCTCAAGGATCTCTTCCTGGATTTGGACAAAGCCAAGAAAATGAAACACCCACAGGCAGGAGAGATCGAGAAAGAGTGAGTACACAAACACCAATTGATAGTTTCTTCCCACAAGATGTGTTTGGAGAATCTGTCTCATCCAAGTCATTCAGTAATGTCATATACGTATATGAACCAGTTCACATAAAAGTCAACAAGCTTCTCTATGTAGTAGTATCAATCCCTGGACAACAACAAGAGGCGTGTCTGTTTTATTATACAACACACCCACTAAACGAACTCCGAACGTTCGAAGCTTTCATCTAGACGAATTACGTTCCCGATTCAACAACATTTAGCAAACACTGAAGCAAATTTCAATTTGTAATCACTCTAGAACCAAAGACTTAGAACATTCAACGTCTCATCATTCATAATTAAACCTTTAATTGTATGAAAAATGAAAGTGAAAACCAAAGGGTCATTTTATTTTGACCCAGACTATCTGGGACCATTATTTTTTTCTGTCCACAATCTCTCCGAAGAATTGTTTACTACACTTATAAGTACTTAAAAAAATCATAAGCATGTAGAATTTTGTCAGAGCACGTCACAATATTTTGTTTATGTTTAATTATATTATTAGTTTGAATTATAACGTATTAATGAGTAATAATGTACATCCAGATATACACTGTACACTATATATTTTTTCATGAAAAAGAAAATATATTATTATATCTGCAACGCAGAAATATTTTGTTTAGTATACCCCGATTCTTTTTCCTTTTTTTTCTCCCCTGATATTAATTTAGATCTGAATTTACCAAGCTATTGATTATTTACAAACAACTAATTGATCAATACTATAAATAGCAACGAGCCTGCAGCCTACAGACAAAGCCTACAGTAGCTATCAAATATAATGCATACAATTTTAGTATCATTAATAAACCTCAGCTTAGCTATATAAACGTTTCACAATATTTATTTGAACCCTGAAGTGTGTGTTATACACTAGTTCATTGAATGGCCACTAGATGGCGCATGACATGTCCCAATACGTATACTGCAAGGAAAAATGAGTGTCACGGTGTCATATACAGTATGTGTATGCATGGCTTATAGGTTGTGATGCTGAAGCTGTTTTGTATTTGTGTGTTAGTGTGAGTCGACTTCATGAGCGCTGGCTGAAGGACTGTGCATTTTACCGTGATCTCTACAAGCAGATGAACGAGATCGGCCTGCAGCCGCGCATCAACTGGATCCAGGTGTTCAACCAGAAACAGGTAAGCAGCGAAGGTGGAAAGGTCACTCATTCTCCATCTTCTGCATGTCTTTGACTCTTTCAAACTCGCATCACCTGAGAGATCAGCTCATTATCAAACCAAAAGACCAGGACAAAAGCGCTTATTTCTAGTTGGAAGGTATGTAAGGAATAAAACACAGTGGGGCGTGTCGTTATAGTTAAATGATCAACAACAGGGTGAAGTCAAGTGGCCACTATTTAAATTTTTTTTTTTTAAAGTGCATCGCAAAGTGTCTGTTCATCTTATACCACAGCGAATTTGATAAAATAAAGAAAGACGAGTTGTACTTTAAAAAAAAAAAAATCCATTTATAGTTCCGTTTATTATTGTGGAACATCTGTGAAACATCGCAATTCACAAACATACGGTTCCTCTGGTGGTCGAACCCAGGATTTTCTGCATGTAAAGCAGACATGATGACCACTAGACTATGGAACCAGCGCGGGGGAACCTGGAGCCAATCCCAGGGAGCATCGGGCACAAGGCAGGGTACACCCTGGACAGCTCCACCCTGGATGCTCCCTGGGATAGGCTCCAGGTTCCCTGTGAACCTGAAAAGGAGTAAGCGGTAGAAGATGGATGGATCTGTGAAACAAGTTATCACGCCATAGCAACTATAAACAGTCAAAACTGCTCCATTCTTAAGGCTTTCCAATGTCGGGATAGATTTGTTTCAAAGCGTTGACACTGGAGACTCCTTCCAAAAATCCTAAATCAAATTCTCCTCACAGAAAACGTCAACATATCTAACAATCCTAATAATTACCATAATAGTCCCCATCTCTGAATCGGCTACATCACGCTCTCCTCTCCACTAACCGGTGGCGTGTGGTGGGCATTCTTGCACACCATGGCTGCTGTCGCATCATCCAGGTGGATGCTACACACTAGTGGTGATTGAGGAGATCCTCCCTCCACCGCATACTGTATACAACATGCCAAACAGGTCCAGGAATTTCTACCTCTAGCCTCTTAGATCACTAAGGCGTCAATACTGGAAATGTGAATGTTTCTGAGTGCCTCGCTATACATGTGTGTGTTGCAGAAAGAGGTCAACTCAGAGGCGTATGGACCCACCATGGCGGAACTGGAGAAACAGATCGCAGCCCACAATATACTCCACAAGGAGGTCGAAGCCTACAACACGCAGCTCAGCCCAAACAGCACCAGCTCTAAGGTCAGCCAGATTCCAGCCACTCAGACCACACATCAGACATCTTTCTTAAAAGGAGCAGTTTGTCGTTTTCAGAGCGCTCGTATATCTCCGAGGTCGAACGCACATCTTAGCAAGTGGAAAATATCTCGAATATCTAGTCAAATGGATCAACTATTTCCTCTTATAAGACTACAACAAACCAAACACAAGATTATTAAGCCTATTTCTGGACATATTTCTTATTCTATTGGCAGATCATTTAGCTTCTTTCTAGAAATGAATGCTTAACATGAGCACAGTAGAACTAGAAAGCTTAAAAATAGTGAAATATGTCTAGAAGTAGGTTTAATAATCTTAGATTTGCTTTATTGTAATGTTTTAATAGGAAATGCTAGATTAACTATTTAACTATATTCAGGATATTTTAACTTGCTAAGATGTTTTTTTTTTGTTTGTTTTATGTAGAATACCTCAGATTTGCACTATATTTTGATGAAATAAATGCTGATATCTTGATTTATTGTTTTAGGAGGAATACGCTGCCCTCAAGAAGCAATACGCCAATCTGTTGGTAAGATATTACTCTTTCAGTCTTAAAATAATAATAAAAAAAAATTAATCGGGCCTTGGAATGCTGATATTAAAGGAACAGTTTGTTGTTGTTTTTTTTTAAAAAGAGAGAAAAAAATCAATTTGTATTTGAATGTTTCCTTTACCATGAATCTGAACATTTTTATAAAATAGTCAAAAGCAGAAAGGTTCAGAAAATAGTTGTCAGTGTCGCCCAAAACTTATATATACTTGTTTCAAACAAGTTTGTTTGTTTTGCTGAACCATTCCTTTACATACCGTGAATTATGTAATGAAAATGAAATGACGTGAATTTGTTTTTATTTTCCCCGAGTTATTTATCGTGAACGTGCTAATCAGTTAGCGAACACCTGCTAATCAGAATAGGCTAACTGAGAAGGCCCGCGTCCACGTGTGTGTTTCGTTGTCGTCATGCAGGACAACTCAAAATGGCGCCAACACTACCTGAACAGCCTGTACGAGTACATGCAGAGCTGTAATAAAGAGGTAGGCTACCTGAGCGACGAACAGTCGAAGATCCTCCAACAGGACTGGAGCGACCGTATGGTGGATCCGGCAGACGTTCGGCGTCGCTACGTGGTGAGGCTCTCGATTCCCATCTCTTTCTATCTGTCCAGTCGCCGCCTTTAAAAGCAAGGCTGATGAAGGCTGAGTGTTTCCTGTAACTCTGTGCTTTGCTTGTAGAACTTTAAGAACAACAGCCTGCTGTCTCACGAGAGCGAGGTGAACAAACTGCAGGATGACGGAGATCGTCTGATCGAGATGAAACACCCTGCAGCAAGCACCGTTGAGGTGAGAGAATATAATCCTGTGATTTGGATTAGAACTGACAATAATGTCAGGAACTGCTGAACAACATCAGTATTGAGAATTCAGCAGCGCGGTGGTGTATTTTGCTATAAATACATCATATCATTTCTCCATGAATAAATGATAAGAGGTGGTGGGTAGTGTTGATGTGATGATATTGTTTTGTGTACTGTAAGTAGTTTATGTATATTAATTGTACTGTTGGTGCTCAGTGCTCAATTTCAGCATGTGTAAAGTCTCGGTTTCATGTTTCAGGTTCACAGAGAGACGTTGAAGAACGAATGGCAGAAATTTCTGAACCTCTGCATCTGCCAAGAAACACACCTGGACAATGTGGAGGATTACAAAAAGGTAACGGGATACAGGACAAGCACAGCACATTCACCCTGAACGGCTTTCAACATCCGATCAGTCTTCTTGAACGTTAGCCAGCCTCGTAATGCCCCGGGTGTGGTGACGTGTCAGGGACACCGGACGCTCTCTGAAGGGGTCATTCATGGCGGGGTCAGACATCAAAATATTGAGAATGCATATTTTATAAGGTTTAATTGACATCATTTCTACAGGTCCTAGCTGGCTAGTGTCGAGTGACTGCTGCGGTTCGTTACGTGCAGCACATTAGAACTAATAAATTCTTTACGTCAGTAATACTCAGTCCCTCCAGGATTTAGCGGTTTCAAAAACTGCTCACGTACAAGACCTTGTCTGGAACAGCACCCCCCCCTACCTCAACACTTTCATTGAGGCGTATGTTCCCTCACGCAATTTGTGATCGATTAACGACCGACGCTTAGTAGTTCCTACTCAGCGAGGCTCGAGGTCCCTTTCCAGAACCTTCAAACTAACTGTTCCTCAGTGGTGGAACGAACTTCCAACCTCAATCCGGACCAATGAATCTGTCACTAACATAAAAAAAAAACGGTTAAAGATCCACCACTTCCGTGAACACTTAACTAATCCCTAACATGCCAAGCTCTCACTTTATTTAAAACAACAACAAAAAAAACTACACTGCCTTTTACACGCAGTTTTACTTCTCTAGAACTTCGTTATAAATCTTGTATTGTAACACTACTTGTATTGTTCTCCGCTTGATGTATCGCTTTGCTCGTGTTGCCTCATTTGTAAGTCGCTTTGGATAAACTCGTCTGCTAAATGAATACATGTAAATTAATGCAAAATCAAGCAAACTCAGCAATATTAGGAGGAGTGCAATTCAAGTAATTTTCCACAAAAAAAACCTCAAAGCAAAATCAAGTATTTTTGGCTGGAGGCATCACAAAACATCTCGACGAAATCCTGTGGGTGCTATACACTAGTAGTGGTTGAGGAGATCCCCCCCTAATGTGTTCCATACTCTAAAGCAGAATCTTAGTCCTCACTTTTTCAAAACTGAAAGGCATTAAACACGTTCTCAACACTGCGAACATAGCATTAGCATCATAGCAAGTGAAACACAACAACACTTAGCATCATAGCAAGTGAAATAATTGAATTAGCTTAAAATTAGCCAAATTATCTACCAATAGAACGGATCTATTTCAAGCTTGACAGTAAAAAGCATAATCTTATATTTGGTTTATTGTAACCTTATAATAGTACATATAAGATACGTTTGACTATATTCAAGATATATATATATATATATATATATATATATATATATATATATATATATATATATATATTTTTTTTTTTTTTTAAGCGAATAAGTGATTTTCGTAAAAAACCCCAATAATAAATATTCCCTAAATTTAAGGACTCAGTATCTGCTACAAGTGTCACGGTTGAGCACGGTTCTTCTGGCCCACTTATATTTTCCAGTACACGTCGGATGAGAGGTTAGAAGTAAAACCTGATTTTAATTTTTGAATAGTGAAATGGTGAGAATAATGTTGTTAAGTTTTACATCATAAAACGGACATATCTGTCCAACTAACGGCTGTCCATCTTCGTTCCACTGGTCACCAAATCTCATCTGAAGTCATAATTGACTGCAGTGCATTGAAGATATCAAAGGACACTAAGTACAAACCGTAATACCTCGAGGCTCTCAGGCGGACGAAAGGCCTCTTCAGCGCAGTGAGCAGCTCTTGGCAGATCTGAGAAAACGCAGCACCACCATCGCTTTCAACCGCACAGCACGAGCCGCTTTTTCAAGAAAAAAAACCCTTTTTTTTATAACAACTTTTTTTTTAAAAAAATTTCTTATTATAATTTTAAAAAAAAAATTAAAAAAAAAAAAAAAAAAAAAAAAAAAAAAAAAAAAAAAAACAACTTTGTTTTTTGGGGAGCACTCCTTTTTTAACACCCTTCTTTTTTTTTTTTTTTTTAATAAAAAAAAAAAAAAAAATTTTGACAAAAACCATTTCATTTTAAAGAGATCTCAGTCCCACCTCACTTTTTTTTTTTTTGCCTAAACCCCTAAAACTTTTATTTTCCAGGTTTTTTTTTCCCAAATCAAAATGTGAGTTTAATGTGTAACTACAAAAAAAAAATAAAAAGAATTTTTTTTTTTTCTTTTTTTTTTTTTTTTTTTTTTTTTTTTCTTTTGTTACTTTTTAATTTTTCATATTTCTAAATTTTTTAATATCGTATTGCTTACACTAAACTTTGAATACACAGGTCATAGTTCACAAAGAAAGGAGAAAAAAAGAAGGGGCGACAAAAAAAAAAAAAAAAAGAGAGATTTTTACCCCCCCCCCCTTTTTTTTTTTTTTTGCTCCGCCCCCCTTAACCACATAAAAAAAACAAAAAAAAAACAAAAAACACTACAAAAAAAAAAAAAAAAAAAAAAAAAAAAAAAAAAAAAATTAATCTACGAGGGCCGTATCAAGGCACCGGTCTTGATCCGAAACTCACGATTCAACCACATTCGTAT